GTAGAGACGGGGTTTCACCATGTTGACCAGGATGGTCTCGATCTCTTGACTTCGTGATCCACCCGCCTCGGCCTCCCAAAGTGCTGGGATTACAGGCTTGAGCCACCGCGCCCGGCCAGGTTTGTATTCTTAGTAGAAACGTGGTTTCAGCACGTTGGCTGGGATGGTCTCAATCTCTTCACCTCGTGGCTGCCCGCCTTGGCCTCCCAAAGTGATGCGATTACAGGCGTGAGCCACCACGCCCAGCCTGGATTTTAACATACATATGAATGGCTTCCTGTCGCTAGTGGCTTCTGGACTAGACAGCCAGGACCCAAAGATTCCTTGGTGTTTCCCAGGGGCCGAGGTGGGAGGTGGGGCTCACCTGTGGGCTCTGGCCCCGGGCTGGATTCGTCCTCACAGGTCATGCTGGCTGGAAGCTGGAAAGCATCCAAAGGAGTTTGGCCACCCTCAGTTTGGCTGGGGACAAGATGGATGCACGCAGTTAGGAGAGGGGTCCTTGGCCATCCAGGGATCCCTCCTGCCCCTCCCAACAAGTGTGGACACCCCAAAGGGTAAGTGTGGGAGCCCCACCCTGAGGCATTTACAGGGCTCGCCACCAGATGCCTAAACTCCAGGCTGATCTCTCTACCCCAGCTTGGCCCTCTAAGGCCAGACCTGTACAGCTGACGGCCACCTGGATGTTGTCACCTGGGTGTCCCCTGGCGCCTCATGCCCATCTGATGTCTGCATCTTCCTTTCAATCCTCTCCGGAGCCCAAATCCAGACCCAGCAAAGCCAGAGACCCGGGCAGAAGATGATCTCCTCCCCTCCTCCCCCAGAGAGTCGGGCACTGCCCAGGGCTGGCCCCAGCCTTTGCCCTCATCCTCCAGCACCCATCTCGGCCCTCAGTGCCTCCCTTCATGGCAGTGAGGGGTCTCTTTTCCTTGTTTTTTTCTGAGAAAGGATCTCACTCTGTTACCCAGGCTGGAGTGCAGTGGTGCGATTTCAGCTCACTGCAATCTCCGCCTCCTGGGTTCCTGCCTCAGCCTCTTGAGTAGCAGAGACTACAGGTGCTCACCATTACACCTGGCTAATTTTTGTATTTTTAGTAGAGATGGGGTTTCACCATGTTGGCCAGGATGGTCTTGATCTCCTGACCTCGTGATCCACCCGCCCCAGCCTCCCACAGTGCTGGGATGACAGGAGTGAGCCACCGCACCCGGCCTCATTTCTCACTGCTTTCTACTCTAGCCCCAAGCACTACCGTTAGGGTTAGGCTGCTGCTCAGAGCCCTTCCTCTGCTTCAACACTTGTCCCTGTTTCTGGCTTCTTGCCATGAGTTGCTCTGCTCTGGGGGCTTCCCCTACTAGGAGCCTGCTATGGCTCCCCAGGACCCCAGAGTCAAGAGTCCATGGTCAGGCATGGTGGCTCACACCTGTAATCCCAGCACTGTGGGAGGCCGAAGTGGGCAGATCACTTGAGATCAGGAGTTCGAGACCAGCCTGG